TTCAAAAGAGCTGTTAAAAAAGTTAAATTGTCATCTGATGAATGATTAACAAGAAGAAAAAAGTATTTCTAGCTTGTTCTAATGTATCTTCAGTTTTAATACCTTAACTACTGTTTAGTAAACTAATATTAATACTTTAAAAGCCACTAATGGTTTATATTACTCTGGGTTGTTCCGGATTAAATCGCATATCATATTTAAAAGCATTTGGCAGCCCAGCCGACGTGGCTCAGTAATTGAGCGTCAACCTATGAATCAACCAGGAGGTCACGGTTCGATTCCCCGTCAGGGCACATGCCCAGATTGCTGGCTCAGTCCCCAATGTGGGGTGTGCAGGAGGCAGCTGATCAGTGATTCTCTTTCATCATTGATGTTTCTATTTCTCTCTCCCTCTCCCTTCCTCTCTGAAATCAATAAAAATAAATTTTAAAATGAATAAAAGCATTTGGCAGGTAAATGTGCAACAAAGTTAATCTTTTATATTCTTTCTCTTTCCAAGTTTTAATTAACAGTACTCCCTATTTCTAATGATCTAGTTGCAGATTGTCTTGATTTGATTGGATTAATAAAGATAGTTGTTCTGGAAACTCAAGTTTTGTTTTTCTTCAAAAGGCTATGCTTCTCTCATTTATTTCAGATGCTTCAGTTTCCACATTTGAATTTATATTCTAAATATGAAATAATTTAGACTTATTTTTCTCTCAACATGTATCCTATGTATTATGAAATTAATTTTTAGATCTTACCTTTAGGGAATCAGGGCAATTTTTTAATCAATTTTACTTTCTTCCTTTAAAGTTAATCTTATTTTCAACCATTATATATGTGATTACATAAAATGCTTGGAATTCATAATGATCCCAGTTAAAGCCAATATAATTTCAAACTTTAGAAGTTAGCTTAAAATGTACCATTAATCAGTTGCCCACTTCACACACACACACACACACACACACACACACACACACACACACACACAAACTTTATATAGGACCTTGCTTCATAAGAATTTAAACTCACACCCATAGTCCTTTCATGTAGACTAAGTCAACCTAAAATTTATGGCCAGGAGAAGGTTAAAGATGTTGCCCAATACTCCAGAGCCAGGGCTAGCTAGGACAGATACCTGTGGAAATCTGTTAGAGCAAGAGTACTTAGCTAGTGGATTGGAACAAACTAGTAGTTCTCAAAGTCAGCATCAGACAGGTGTCCTAGATGCCCTGTTGAGTTTGTACTTGATAGTTTTGCTACTTGATGATCTTGGGCAAGGCATTTTATCTCTGTAAAATGCTCTGACCACCTCTCAATGATCCTATGAGATCATGCATATGAGAATGCTTTGGGCATATTCAGAAGTTGTATATATGAAAATATATGGTCCTCATGCTACTTGCTGCCTATATTTCTCTTGATCATTCCCTTCACTTATAGTTGGCCTGGAATTTCCACATTGGAAGGGTAGTCAGTATCCTTTCAACATCTCCTTCCTTCCCACCCATCCTGTGATTTCAGGGCTATAGGACATTGAAAACTAGCTCCCTTTTATAGAAGGAAGGCAGGCCTCTTCTCTTGAGATTCATATAATTTTTTAATTTGACTGAGGTATTTTGATACCATAGAGAAATTAGAGTATGAAGCTTTTACCACCCTAAGTATTTTATCTTGAGTGGTAGCATTTATTAAGCATGTGCCAGGATTTATTCTTCACAGCAGTGCGACATTGAATGCTTGAGTGATTGTCCAAGGTCATAGAGCTGGGATTCATACACAAGCGCAGACTCTTAACCCCACTGTCATATTGCTTTTCCAATTACTACTCAACCTTCAGTATCAGTGTGAGACTAAAAGTGATGCATGTTCATTGTAGAGGAAGGAAAACAAAAACTCATAATTTTATAATCCAGAGGTAATCACTGTTAAAGCAGTTCCTTCCCATTTTTCCTATATCAAACCATTTCCCTCTTACTGTATATCCACATTCTTTCCACTTTTTACACTTTATAAATAGTGCTGTAGTGATATTACTAGAACTGGAATTACTGGATCAGAGGACATGATCATAAGTGCTTGCCATGTATTGGTTGCCATATTGTCTGAGAAGCCAACAATATTATATTCTCGTCTGCAGTGTTTGAAAGTTTTAGGTTTGTTTAAAAAATTAGGATGATACAAAAAAAAGTTATTTTCTTTTGTCTCTTGCTGTGTTTTGAATGCCATAGTTTTACCATGCTTCTGTATTTATGACAGATAGTTGTGAAAATTATTTGTCCTCAAGGCAGTGGTTCTCAACTGGGGAGTGATTTTGTCCCCAGGGAAATTTGGCAATGTCTGGAAACATTTTTGTTGTTGTCAAGAGGTGGAGCGGTACCACTTGTGTCTAGTAGGTCGAGGCCAGAGATGCTGCTGAACACCCTGCAATGCATAGGACAGGCCCATGACAGAGAGTTACCCAGTCTAAAACGCCAGTATTACTAAGGCTGAGAAACCCTGGTTTATAGTCAGCTCCTGAAATCTAGAAGAAATCCATTGACAAATACTCTAAACACTTCTACATCTTACTCTATTATCTAAGAATAGAAAAGTTCAGTTTTTTTCTGACTTTAACTGCAAAACCGGAGAGCTTTGTTTGGTTAATCTCTGGATTGTTGAGTTCTTAATATTGCAATAAAATCTAATGAAATTAGTTCTCAGAGAACTTTCCTAAAGCCCTTTGAAAGTTTCGCAATGTTTACTGTCACTCTTTTTTTTAAATTAAATCTTTATTGTTCAGATTATTACATTTGTTCCTTTTTTTTCCCCCCATAACTCCCCTCCTCCCAGTTCCCGCCCCACCCTCCGCCCTCACTCCCCACCCACTGTCCTCATCCATAGGTGCATGATTTTTGTCCAGTCTCTTCCCGCATCTCCCACACCCTTCCCCCGCCCCAAGAATAGTCAGTCCATTCCCTTTCTATGTCCCTGATTCTATTAAAATCACCAGTTCATTCTGTACATCAGATTATTTATTCACTTGATTCTTAGATTCATACAGTCGTATGGGTATTCCCTTGTAGGTAACCAACTGTCTTTCTCTTGCTGCTTTTAAGATTCTCTCTTTGTCTTTTGCTCTTGGCATTTTAATTATGATGTGTCTTGGTGTGGTCCTCTTTGGATTCCTTTTGTTTGGGGTTCTCTGCGCTTCTTGGACCTGTAAGTCCATTTCTTTCACCAGGTGGGGGAAGTTTTCTGTCATTATTTCTTCAAATAGGTTTTCAATATCTTGCTGTCTTTCATCTTCTGGCACCCCTATAATTCTGATGTTGGTACGCTTGAAACTGTCCCAGTGGCTCCTTACACTATCTTCGTATTTTCGGATTCTTTTTTCATTTTGCTTTTCCGGTTGGGTGTTTTTTGCTTCCTCGCATTTCAAATCTTTGACTTGATTCTTGCGCTCCTCTCATCTGCTGTTGGGTGTCTGTATAATATTCTTTATTTCAGTCAGTGTATGCTTAATTTCTAGTTGGTTCTTTATCACAACATCGAGGGTCTCATTAGATTTCTTGAGGATCTCATCAAGTTTATCAGCAGTTTCTAGGAAATTATTGAAAGACCTTAAAAGTGCGTTTTTTAGCTCCATATCCTCCATTTCTGTCATGTTTCTTTGTCTCTGCATTTTTTATGCTTTCTTGGTGCACCCCCTTGTGGTCTTTGTGCGCAGTCTTGTTGTAGTTAAGCCTTAATTGTTGTCAGCAATACTGGGGGTGAATTGACCTCCAGGCTAACTGGCTATGAGAGTCAGCTGTGTCTGCAGTGGGAGAGCTTCTGTGCTGGATCTCTAGGGCGGTGCTAGTCTAGCTTTTGCCTAAGGCTATCCGGCAAATGCCTCTGTGCAGGGCTTGGGTGGGGCGGGTCCCCGGGGATCTACAGGGCGGGCGGAGCGAGCAGTTATGGCTGCTCTCAGATCCGTTCCCAGGGGCTCTGCCTCTCAGAGTCCCGGGAGAGAAAGCTGCATTCGAGTTCCGACCAAAGCCAGACAGTCCCGCTTCTCCTGTTTGAGTCTGGGTCCCTAGAGACTCACCCGGATCTGGAGCTCAGAGTCTGAAACTCCCTCCCGATTGAAAACAACAGCCGCGCCCTCCGCCGCCGGCCCGCTCCACATGCACTCCGCACCTTAGTATTTCACTTCCACACTGCGCCTCCTCTGAGTCTCGGTATGGATTTCTCTTTCCTTCTAGTTGTAGGATTTCCACTCAGCCAGCCTTTCTGTGGTTCTGGGTGATGTCCGTTCCGTCTTTTAGTTGTATTTTTGAAGTGGTTGTTCGAAGCAGCAAACTCCGGCGTTAACCTATGTCGCCATCTTGGTTTCTCTTCTGTCACTCTTTTAATGATTCTACAGTGTACCCTCCTTTAGATTTGCCTTAGCTTTTTTTGAGGGGGGGGGCGCTTACCACTAAAATATATAATGTCTCTGATTCCCAAAACAAAAAATCTACAACTTCTTATGGGAATTAGTAATTAGAATATCTTTTGAACCTAAACTCAAAGCAACTCCTACAACATAAAACTTAATTTATTTGGGGGCTTTTAGTTGAGGTTCAATTCATTAGCCTTTAATTTTTATATATATCAATTTTCTTCTCCTGTTAGTTACAATAAAAACCTTATAGCAACTAGTGATATCCTACATAAAAAATCTCATTGGGATGTTATTTCTGTATCATTAACAGGCAGAAAAATGTTCAGTGCACCCAAATTTCTCTTTTAGCCATCAGTCCTCACCAAGGGGAACGTGATAATCTTATTTGTTGGGGTTGAAGAGACCCTGAAAGTCATATTTATTCTTGTTAATTTGGTACATTTATATGTAGGTTCCAGAAAACTTGTGAACTTCTCTGAAATTTTTTCCATACATACCTTGGGACTACTAGAGCTGAAATAAGTGTTGTCTTTGTTCTATTTTTATAGCCCTGCTTTGTCTACACAAAGGCTATTGCTGAGCTTTGTCCTTTTGTGCTTCACAGGAGCCAGCACCTATGACAGAAGACCTGCTAGAGGAGCAGTCAGAGGTTCTAGCTAAATTGGGCACCTCCGCGGAAGGGGCTCACCTCCGGGCACGCATGCAGAGCGCCTGTCTGCTGTCAGATATGGAGTCTTTTAAGGTGGGTCACACTGTCAGGGCTCAGGATTCTATTTTGAGTTATTCTGGGGTAAAGCTGTGAAAGTCACTCAATAAAGTGGTATGAAGACCTGAATGTCCTTTTTATTAAAAGCTTTTATTTCATTAGTAGTTAATAACATCCCGCTTCTATCCCCTAAAGGTTGTATTCAGAGTTGCTTCTTGAGTTTAAAAAAAGCAAAGAACAATCTTTGAATAATAGTTGAAAGTTGAGACTTGAGTAATTTTTTATCTGCACTGGGATGCCTTCCTCCTTTGTGTGTGTTCAGCCAATATCATGCAAGGTTTTTAGGAAACCCTTAGGATTTAACATAGGTTCCTTAGTTCAACAGGCCTTTGATATTCTACTTTGTGACTTGCACTGTGATTAGATAAGTAAGAAATACAGTGTTTATTCTCAGTTACAGTCTGTTGAGGTTGTGTAAATAAGTGTGTGATGAGTTCTTTTATGAAGGCAGGTCTAAGAGGGAACTAACTCTACTGAGTGGGTCATGGCAGGTTTCTCAGATGAGTCCCCATTTAGGATGAGTAGGCATTTGCTCCCTACTCATTTTAGGCCTGTATCTAGACCATAGAGAATTCAGAGAATGATGACATTTAGCTTGCTAGCTAGAAAACCCAGGATGAAGGAAAGTCTTTATTATTATTATTATTACTTATTTTTAAAAGAAGAGACAAGTATATGTATATATTTTTGAAAACCAAGTGGGTAGCCCATTGGGCCACAGGGCTTCCTTTCTACTGCTGATCCCCAGAACTGTCTCCCAGGCACAGACTTTCCTCCTTACTCCATTGCACCGTGATGGACCCCACGTCCCCATTCCACACCCCTCCTCAGTTCTGCTCTGTGCTACAGGCCAGCCTGAGTGTGAGTTTCTCCAACATAAACACCCATGAAAACACATGCCACTTTCATCTTCCCAGCTAGCAGGTTTGTGACAGTAAAAGGAAGCCTCTTAGTCCCTGCTTATTCCCCCATATTTTCTAAAAGAAACAATCTTTAGTAAACCTCTTAAGAGCTGCCTGTTTTCCTTAGAGACAAATAATACATAAAATGTGTGTGTTATTTTGTGCTGTGAAATAAGAAAGAGAGGTGTGTTGTTTTAAAACAAACAGTTGGCACAGTGAATAAATAGAAGTCAGTTGGATCCTGGCCGGTGTGGCTCAGTTGGTTGTAGCGTTGTCCCATAACCCCAAAAGGTTGCAGGTTCAATTCCTGAGAGAGTGAAAAATCATTTGGCTCTCAGGGCATGTGTTAAATCAAAAAAGTAAATAAGAGAATTGGCTTAGGGAGTGTGTGCATAGTAGGCAGTACTAGCCTGCCCAGTGGCTCTTTTGTTGTTGTTTCTTTTAATCCTCACCCAAGTTTATGTCCTTACTGATTATTTTTAGAGAGAGAGAGAAACATTGATGTGAGACAGAAACATCGATCAATCACCTCCCGTAAGCACCCCGGCCAGGGGTGGAATCTGCAACCTAGGTATGTGCCCCGACCAGGAATTGAACCTACAACACCTTGGTGTATGGGGCGACGCTCAACCACTGAGCTACTCTGGCCCGTTACTTGACCTCTGCCTGCCTTCATATTCATCTGTCCTTGTCCTACCACAGTATTCTTGCAGAGGCAAGTACAGAATGAAATCCAAATTGGAACTGTAAAAGCTTTTCCCCATAGAAACATATCGGCTCCTGATGGTAAGGTTCTATATAATGCCTTCAACACTGCTTCAGCAAAACTAGAGTTCATTAGACTCTTTTGGATTAACCTGGGCACCTACAAACCTCTCATAACATTGTTTTAATCAGAAAATAGACTATTTCAAATAGCCTTTTTTACACATCTGTCCCTACGCAGGAATCAGGTCACATATTTAAGGAAATACGTAGTCACTCTAAAATAGATATGGTTGCCTCTCCCTTTTTGCGTAGGGGTGACTTGCTTTAGGGGCCCTTGGGAGCGTCCCCAGAGCTTTGGATGAATGCTGAGAGGGACCTGAGGTACCTACACCTCACAACCTCAGAAGCACAGGGCCTGTTCGCGAGCATGCCCTTGGATGCATACCTAGAACAGTAGAACAAAGACAAGCCAGAGCTGAAGTGTGCCTTGACCTTCTCCTGGGAGCGGTTTGTTTAGCCTGGTATTGGAAGAACAACCAGAGAGAAGAATGTGGTGTAAATTGTCTTTTTTTTTTTTTTCTTAACACATTCTGTGGTACAGGAGTTCAACATTATTTTCTTTTTTAACTTTTCACTCTTCACTCAAGGCCTATTTCTGGGTTCCTAAGATGTTCTCAGTGGGTGTGGTATTGCCTGGTTAATATCCAGATCTTCGGGCATGAATCCTGATTCATGCAGTAATCTTGACCTTTTGCAGTTCACAGCAGTAGTTGTAGCCATGATGCCATAGCCCTTAACAGGGGTGGGGAACACCCAGTCTGCAGGCCATATAAGACCTGGGAAATCATTTGGTCTGGCCATGCCAAGGCATTAGGGGTGAGTTAATTAAATGTTTGACCAAATATAGCAGGCTCATTTTTAAGTTGATAATTTTATGTGGCCCTCAAATGATGTTATAAATATCCAAATGGCCCTTGGCAGAAAAAAGGTTCCCCACCCCTGCCTCAGAAGTTTATGTCGTTGACTGGGTTAAGGACCCTCCTCTGATTCCTTATCCCCTCAGAGGGATTTCCTAAAGTGGTAGGGATGGTTAAGCTGGTAGCCAGTGAGCTCAAGAAGCAAGAATTAACAGTTTTGCTCTTCACATTTAAGACTAGCCATTCTCTTCAAGTCTGTTTGCATTTTGGTCTGAGGTTAATTTAATTCAAAAAGAAAGAAAATGACCTTCCGCTTAGCACTTCTTTGTTGATGTTTACATGACTTACTATTTCAGGCAATTAAATATAGTACTCATACAGGAAGATTATGTTGTGGTAGACAATATAACCAAAAGGTACGTGTTTAATGTGTGTACACGTATCCTTTGAGTATTAGGGGATAATACATATACCTATCCTTAGTACTCTGCTAATATATTACTGTACACTTGCAAAAGAGAACTCTGTGCCTTAGCACTAACACTGGGAAGCCTCTACTTTTATTCCAGGCTTGAATGTGGAATTACTTAAAGGATTTTGAAATACAACCTTGTAAATTCTATAGAATTATCCACTGAGTAAAAATTTAATTAGTTAGATTTGAGAAACCTGAACAATAATAGTTTGAATTTCAATTCCTTAACAGCACAAAAGCAGTTTATGTGAGAGTAATGTTGTACATAAAGCACAAGAATTTGATGGCTGAATAGAACATTTTTGAGGTTAGCTGATATTTACTGCGGTATTGATTTATTGAGGGGAAAAAAGAGCAGAATTTTCCCATTATTAGGTTGTTATTCTTTCATGTTGTGTATTATTTAATTTACATGACCTGCACTTATTTGACACTCTTCTAAGTTTTGAGTAGTTATGCTATAATTTTAAACTATGTAACTTATCTGTTTAAGAGAATTATTTTCACTTTACATAAAGTTTTTATTTCCAAATTCATCAAATGGAAGTATTTTCTTTTTCTATAAATAGAGACAGCAAAAGTAAAATGCTTTTGGTATTTTAACATTTGATCTGTTTTCGAGGTGACACCCAAACTCATGTCACATATTAGGTTTTATAAAGATTAGGTAGGCTTTTTGTGAAAGAGAAAGTATGATCTTGCAAACAGGTTTTCAGTAACTGTTGACTTATATTTGGTTCTGCTGAATTTTTGGCCTTGATTTAGGCAGCTAATCCAGGTTGCTGTCTGGAAGACTTTGTGAGGTGGTACTCACCCCGGGATTACATTGAAGAGGAAGTGATTGATGAAAAGGGAAACACGGTTCTGAAAGGAGAACTGAGTGCCCGAATGAAGATTCCAAGCAACATGTGGGTGGAAGCCTGGGAAACAGCTAAGCCAGTTCCTGCCAGAAGGCAAAGGAGACTCTTTGATGATACACGGGAAGCAGAAAAGGTAACTGAGGTTTGGGTATCTAACACTAAAGTGGTAGTTACTGTTCTAGCATTTTAAAAACTCACTATCATAGACATGAGAAGCAAAGCATTGAAATTTAATGAGCCTTTTATGTGTCTACTATTTACACTTAAGATTTTAGAATTAGTTGCAGTTAGGCCCCAAAATAAGATATCCATATTTTATGTAGAATGCTTACCATTGGACTGTCTCATCTCACAGCATATATCAAAAACCTTAAAAAAATGGTCATGTCCTTTGACCTAGCAATTCTACCACCAAGAAATTTATTAAGGAAATAATGAGAAATATGTAAAGGTCAATGTACAAGAATGATGTTCAGCAAAGTTTTTTAGTGAAAAGTGCATATAACCAAAGTTACCAAAAATAAGCTTGGTTCGATAAATTATGGTATGATCATTTAGTGAACTGCTCTTCAATTACTAAAAAATATTTGGAATTCTAATGAATAGTGGTAGCTGCCTGATATCAAATTGCCCCACATACCCTCCTACCCACCATCCACTGGCCTCCCAAATAATCCCATGCACTTAATAAGTAATAAATAAATCCATGCCTTAAGCATTACTAGGAGACAGAGATTACAGTGACCTTCAAATTAAAACTATAAGTAGAGAAGCCAAATTCCAATGGAGTTCCTATTGCTGCAGGAGAGTGTGGACAGGGACTTTTAAGAAGAGCTGAGGGATACAGACGGAGCACAGAGTCACCCCAGAAAGAGAGAGCTTAACACTGGGCGCCAAAGTACTTGGTACAGGTAGAGCTTGATAGTTCACAGCATGGCTACAGGGAGAGGCTTAAAGTAAGCTGGGTGAGAAGTGAACACTCAGAGATACTGTCTTGGGAAACCAGATATATAGAGAAGGGTTGATACCCCTTAGAGATAAAGAAATGATGGGAAAGAAGGAAATGAGAGGGAAACTAAGGATCATGCAGAAGTGAAAGACAAACAAGGCTTATCAACCGCCTGGCCAGTGTGGCTTGGTAGAGTGTCGATCTGTGAACTAGGAGGTCACAGTTTGATTCCCGGTTAGGGCACATGCCTGGGTTGCGGGCTCAATGCCCTGTAAGGGGCGTGATTCTCTTTCATCAATGATGTTTCTATCCCTCTCTCCCTCATCCTTCCTCTCCCAAATCAATAAAATAATAAAAGAAAAAAACCAAAAAAATAACATCAACCTCCCTCATCTTCTGCTGGCCTTTAAAGAAACTGCAGAAAAGGGGCACTTTCAAATTGTGGTATGAGTAGGTATACTAAAGAGCAGACCACATCCATACAAAAGTATAAAAAAACAAAATGCAGGCGGGTCAGTTAGCTAATGAAAACATTTCCCAGAAAATTGACCATGAAGCAGAAAATTGTTAACAACACACCATACATACTGAATCAGATATCTTTAAACAAGCATGGGGGATATGAAAAATCACTTTTAATCAGAAATAATAAAACCAAGAGAAAAAATGGACCCCAAAACTCTGCAAAGTAGTGAAACCACAGCTGGTTTAACTCAATATAGAAATAGAAGAAAAAGATACCATATCAAAAATAAAGACTAAATGACAAGGGGCCCAAGAGAGAATAGATTCATATTGAAATATAATAAAAGGCATCAAGAAAAAGTGGCAAAAGGACTAAAGTGGGTTGGAGAGAAAGTAGTAGAAATGGAAAATAGGAAAAGTAGGAATAATACTCATTTTATCAGAGTCCTTGAAGAAAAATCAAAACACTAGCCCTGTTAGGTGGCTCAGTTGGTTGGAACATCATCCCGCACACCAAAAGGTTGTGGATTTGATTTCTGGTCCAGCACATCTCTCCCTCTACCTCTCCTCTCCTTCCTTCTCTCCCTCCCTCTCCTCCTTTTCTTCCTCTCCCTCCCTTCCTCTCTCTCTCTCTCTCTCTCTCTCGTCTCCTTTCCCCTCTCTCCAAAAAAACCCCAATAAAAACATATCCTCAAAACACTAAAACAGAACTAATGTTTAAAACTGCAATCCAAGAAAATTTTAAAAAAGGAAGAAAATAAAAAAGGAAGAAAATGGCATCACTTGTGCTACATAAAAGCCAGTGACATCAAACCTGGTTAATACCTTATCTGTTGCAGTTTTAACCTCTCCCAAAGACATAATCTTAATCAGCCAGTATGAAATTCTGGCCAAGCACCAGTGAGGTAATGTCACCCGGGCCCTCTACCCCCATAGAAAGAAGAGTCAATCTGCATGATAAGAATGCTGTATTTTTTAAATCAGAAAAGTAAAACAATTTCCACTTTAGAAAAAAAAAGACAATAAAAAACCAACCCCAAAAAATCAATGGAGGGTCACTAGAAATGTTTAGAAATAATAAGTGAGAAAAATAGGTCACAAACAGTATTTTAGACACTTAATATTAGTTCATTTAATGTTATGTGTACTTGATATTTTGAAAAATTCTGGAATGAAAATCTTCCACCATTAAAAATTCTATCCCTAGGTGGTATGATTTACGGGTAGTTTTTATTAATTTGTATGCATTACATATGGAAGTGGGGATGGGGGATATGAGAATATTAACCCTTATTGAAGACAGAAGTATGCAGTTGTCTTCAGTAACATTATTCTTATCTTTGGAAGTAGTAGCTATTTACCTGGAATGTAGGGGTAGATACTAAGAGAAAAAGCTCTTCTCTACTTTTGTTATAGATGTGAGTTCAGTGGTCCAAAGCAGCCGGTGTGCCGCAATAATTTTTAAAGTGTGCTCAGGGACACTGATCTCAGGGACACTGATCTCTTTTCTCTTAAATGGTAGCAGCTAACACAATAGCCGTCTGGTCTGAATGAATCAAAATTATACCTATTTTTTTTGTCAGATTGTCAAAAAATATATTTTTTGGTGTGCTGCAGAATTCTAGTAATGAGTTTATGTGTGCCATGAGATGAAAACAGTTGAAAATCACTGGTCCAGAGGATTTTTTGTTTCATAAATGGCTGCTTTATTCGTAGGCAGCTGCATTGATCATTGATCTGAGTCTGTGCCTCCTCCAGGTGCTGCACTATCTGGCAATGCAGAAACCTGCAGACCTCGCTCGGCACCTGCTACCTTGTGTAATTCATGCAGCCGTCCTCAAGGTAAAGGAAGAAGGTAAATGTCTTACTTGAATAGTAATTAGTTCATTTCTAAAATGAAAGTGTATTTTGTCTAACTTATTTAATGATGGTTTTGATCTTTCTCATAGAAAGTCTGGAAAACAATTCTTCCGTTAAGAAGATTATCAAGCAGATAATATCCCATTCCAGCAAAGTCCTGCACTTTCCCAATCCGGAAGACAAGAAACTAGAAGTAAGTTGGGTGACTGTCAGCATCTCGACGAGTACTGTCTCTTCCCAGTGGGCAGTACTTACTTTCAAGAAACATTTTAAATGGCTTTGCCTTTCTTTGCTGTTTTCCAGTGTTATGACTCTCTTTTCTACTGTTAGGAAATCATCCATCAAATTACTAATGTGGAAGCCCTAATTGCTAGAGCCCGCTCACTGAAAGCCAAGTTTGGAACTGAGAAATGTGAACAAGAGGAGGAAAAGGAAGATCTCGAAAGGTAATTGCTATTTGACACGCTCATTTTTGTCTGCAGTAGGAAAATACACCACTGCTTTAGAAAATTTTAATGAACTATTGAGATTCTTTGTGTTACTCTCCTATTATTTGCCAGCATTAGCCAGATTCAGAGAAATAATTATCATAGGATTTGAACTCTACCGTATTTCTGAGTACTTTCTAGGTGTTTCCATTGCTCCCACTTGCAGAACCAAGTCTACCAGGTCTCTCTTCCCAGCAAAGTCCTTGTTTGCTCCCGGAGGCGTGGTGCCTGCACCTGAGGAGAAGCCATTATTGACGCTGTCACTAGCAGTGCCCAGAGCTTTGCTTTCAGCTCTCACTGTTCCTTAACCACAGTCTGAGGGGTTCTGCAACTATAATTCTGCTCAATATTCATTTAATCTTTTAAAAATACCTGTGAGAGCAAAGGTGCAGTTACTGTCCACCTTGCAGATATGTTTGGAGAGTGACTGGTAGCCTCTCCAGGATGAGACAAATGACTGGGCCGGTCTTCTCCTGGCAGCATCGTTATCAAGGGAGCCTTCAGTGTGAGCCCCTGTCTGTTTGTGCCCATTGAAAGGACATGTTGCTTTAATGTGTGATAAAGTGTTTCCAAATTAGCTACTTCAGTAGCTTGAATTTGTTATAATGTTAACATCGTCAGTAGCCTTTTCACAAGGAATGGCATTATTGATGCTAGAAAATTAATAGTCTATGACAAGGCATTTGCTTTAGCTTCTCACAAGATTTTGTTTGAATTTTATATCTTTTGTTGAGTGAAATTTTCTCCCAGCTTTCTTTGTTCTTGAAAATGCCTTTTTTTTCCTTTTCTGGATCCACTCTGTTCATCAGTTTATTTTGTTAATTAGATTCCACATATGAGTGAGATTATGTGATACTTGTCTTCCTCTGACTGCTTATTTCACTTAACATAATACTCTCCAGGTCCCTCCATGCTATCTTAAAGGGTAAAAGATCCTTTTCTTTTCTTTTCTTTTTTTTTACTGCTGCATAGTATTCCACAGTGTAAATGTACCACAGTTTTTTTATCCACTCATCTACTGATGGGCACTTGTACTGTTTTCAGTCTTAGCTATTGAGTAATTGCACTGCTATGAACATGGTGCATGTTTTTTCTGATTGGTGTTTTGGGTCTCTTAGGATAGATTCCTAGAAGTGGGATCACTAGGTCAAATGGTAGTTCCATATTTAATTTTTTGAGGAAACTCCATACTGTTTTCCATAATGACTGCACCAGTTTGTAATCCCACCAGCAGTGTGGTAGGGTTTCCTTTTCTCCACATCCTCACCAGCTTGTCATTTGTTAATTTGTTGATAGTAGCCATTCTGACAGGTGTGAGGTGATACCTCATTGTTACTTTAATTTGCATCTCTCTGATGATCAGTGAGTTTGAGCATTTTTTCATATGCCTCTTGACCATCTGTATGTCCACTTTGAAGAGGTGTCTGTTTAGGTCCTTTGCCCATTTTTTGATTGGATTGTTTGTCTTCATTTTGTTAAGTCATATGAGTTCCTTATATATTTTGGATATTAACCCTTTGTCAGATGTATCTTTGCCAAATATGTTCTCTGATACAATAGGCTCCCTTTTCATTTTGTTGATGGTTTCTTTTGCTGTGCAGAAGCTTTTTATTAGATGTAGTCTCATTTGTTTATTTCTTCCTTAGTTTTCTTTGCTCAGGAGATACAGCCATAAACATATTACTACGAGAGATGTCTGAGATTTTGCTGCCTAGGGTTTCTTCGACTTACATTTAAGTCTTTTATCCATTTTGAGTTTATTCTTGTGTAAGTTGGTGATCTAGTTTCATTTTTTGGCATGTATCTGTCCAGTTTTCCCAACATCATTTATTGAAGAGATTGTCCTGACTCCATTGTATGCTCTTGCCTCCTTTGTCAAATATTAATTTAGCATAATGGAAAATGCCTTTCTTTTAAATGAGAAGAATGAACTCTAATCAAGTGAGTCGTTTCTAAAATAGCAGTACCAGTCAGTGAGCAGGCAGTGCCTTCCTGGCGGTTCTGCCTTCGACTCTCTTAGCTCTACTCTAGAGATCTGAGATGGACTTGGCAGTATAGTACAGTATTTGCAGCACAAAATGGCACTGTTTATAGTCATGACACTGCCCAGCAAAACATGCATTTTGTACATGCATGCACACATGCACTTACACACCTCACAAGAGCAAAAGTAGCCCTGGCTGGGTGGCTTGGTTAATTGGAGCATCACCCTGTGCACCAAAAGGTTGTGGTTCGATTACTGGTCAGGGCACATACCTAGGTTGTGGGTTCAATCCTCTGTTGGGGCATGGACAGGAGGCAACTGCTCCATGTTTCTTTCCCTCTTCCCCTTCCTCTCACTCTCTCAAATCAATTAAAAAACAAACATATCCTTGAGTGAGGATTAAAAATATTAATATTTTATAAGAATAAAAACAAGAAACATGAATCATTGCTTTGTTCTATAAATGAAACTTGGTTTTTGTTATCAACTTTTACTGAATATTTCTTCTTACACTTTGACAGAGATGGGCTGTTCACAGATTTTATGAAAACACTTCAAAGGTAGTAAGAATTGTCATTTGAGTCGATTTTAATTCAAATATCAATATATCCTGTTACAAAGTTCCACTCCAGCCATGGTAGTTGAGCTTTATCAGCGTGAGGGTTTGCCCACAAAATTAATCTGGAGGACGGATGGGAAGTGAGCAGCTCTATTCTTTCTCCCCAGGTTTGTGAGCTGCCTTTTAGTGCAGCCCGAAGTGCTGGTGGTGGGCGCGGGAAGAGGACACGCCGGCAGGATCATTCACAAGCTGTTTGTGAACGCACAGAGGGTATGTGAGGCTCCTCACTGACATGCCATGGCTTCGCCAGCCCTCTGCTCAGTGGGATGCTGTTTTGATTCCGACACATGGCTGCTTCCATGCTGCCGGCCCAATGTGAGCCTGGGTATTGCATTCAGATGTTGCTTTCTTATATGTTTAAGGAAAATGATAACTATATTTTAGGACCTAAATTTCAGAAGGGTCTGAAATCCGTTGTTACAGAATCTGATAGGGACTCAGTGGCCAATGGCCAGTCCTGTGCTGTAGTAAAAAATGTCGCCTACTTTCAAATTAGAAGGGGGCTCGATTTTACTGGTCAACTCCATGTGCAGCAAATGGTTTCACAGCTTAACTATGAAGTTAGTAAGTCTAACTGTTTTTATAACGGTGAAGAGATCTAGCTGAAGAGGGTTCCTAGGAAGGAGGCGCAGGTTTCAGAGTTTGGGGATGGAAACAGGCTTCACAGGAAGAAGCCTGATTTGAAACGGCGTCTTTATCATGACTTCTGCTATGAAAGTACAGGTTTAGAATCAGATCATACCTTCTGACATCCTAAAGCACTGAGATTGCTATTTTCATAGAGATGCTGCTAGTTAGCCTTTGTACTGATGCTCTCTGTACCTTTCTGTTCATGGGTAGAGGTGCTGGCATCCCAACGGTGACCTCATGTCCGGGCTCGTTAACCCTAAAGGTTCTGTTAGAATATTACCCAGTGTACTAAGTCCCGGTGCCCTTACCTGACACTGAGGACCTGAATAACCCAGATTTGAAGGTGTGATTCTCAGAATCAAGTAAGAAAAAGACTTTTAATGGGTTTACACAGGAGTAAAAACTTCATAATCTCCTTTGAGTTTATCTGGAGTATTCTATTTAATATATCAAAATCAGGGCCAAATATATTGATCTGAATTTTTAGCAAGAATAAAACCTGAGATTATCTATGAAGGTAGCTCTTTAAATTTAAGAATTTCCAGTTAAATCTAAGTATTTCAGTTCCTTATAAATGAGAGTTCTAGAAAGCAATAGAGAATTACTTTGATTTATTTTGTTTTTGTCTGTGGCATGAAACCAAGAACTGAGTTTGTTTTCACACCCTATGTCTTCTTTGCCTGCTTACTCACCAGATGCTCATGAGCTCATTTCTTGTTATCACCAATATGAACTTTCCTCATATTGCAAAAACTCTCCTCAGTTTCTAAAATTTGTGTGTTAAGAGGATTTAAAACCTAAAGTATTCATATATTTAATGCTGAGAGTGTTACTTGTTTTGAATAGTTATGCAAAATTATTCTCCCTAAAATGGAAATAGCCTCCAACCCGCCCCCTCTCCCCCCACACCTCCCAGACTATAAGTAAAGGCTCATTGTAAAAATTTGGGCAACACAGAAAATTCTAAAGGAATCATTAATCACATTAATCTCACTCCCCACTGATGATCACTGCCAGCATTTAACAAGTAGTGTATGCAAATATATGTATATTTTACAAAAATAGGATTATCTATCTATATAAAAGCCTAAATGACCGTTAGGACAGAACAGCTATTGGACCAGTCGCTGTGAGGTGCACTGACCACAAGGAGGCAGACGCTCAACACAGAAGCTGCCCCTGGTGGTCAGTGCGCTCCCACAACCAACCTCCCGCAGCCCCTCCACCTGGCTGGCAAACCTTTCATGGCCCCGGCCAGCCAGCCAACCTCCTGCAGCCCCTCCAGCTAGCCGGCCCCCCCATAGGCCTCAATCATCAGCCAGGCTGAGGGACCCCACCCAGACATGAATTCGTGCACCGGGCCTCTAGTCCTATATAATAAAGGCTAATATGCAAATTTTCCCTTCGACTAGGAGTTCAACCAGGGGGCGGGGCCAGCTGACCAACCTCCCACATCCCCTCTTCCCAGCCAGCCAGACCCCACCTGTGCACGAATTCATGCACTGGGCCTCTAGTATTATATAATTTATTATTCTTGTTGTCTACACAATATAATTATGTTTTTACATCAATAACTATAAGAGTGTATCATCTTTTCAGGGCCTCATCATATAGCCAATCTGAAATTGTTCATTCATCCCACATTATGTAATTGTAAAAGATTTCAAACTTCCATACCTTGTGGTGAATGTTTCAGGGAATTGGCAGACTAATCCATAAAACAAGCACTTGGTTGGTACATTTCTAAACTCAGTCCTTAAATGCCTGGCTAATGAAAACCATTCAAGTTTATTCATGTAACTTTTTTTTTCATAACTGACATTGTATATCAGTTTACTAATATAGGCACACAGTAATTTTATATATTCATACATTTTAGCCCTGGCCAGTCTAGCCCAGCAGTTAGAGTGTTTGCCTGAGCACCAAGGGGTCGTGGATTCAATTCCTGATTGAGCGCATGTACCTGGGTTTCAGGTTCACTCCCTGGCCCCTGTCCAGGCAGGTGCAGGAGGCAACCAATCAGTGTGTCTCCCTCACATCGATGCTTTTCTCTCTCTCCTCCCCTCCCCCCACTTCCACTCTCTCTAAAAATCAATGGAAAAAATATCCATTGGTGAGAATTAACCAAAAAAAAAAAAAACATACATTTTTGTTGTTGTTGTTGTTTTTGTTAATCCTCACCTGAGGATATTTTTCCATGGGTTTCGTTTTGTTTTGTTTTTTTTAGGGAAAGTGGAAGAGAGGGAAAGACAGAGAGAAATATCAATGTGAGAGAAGCACATCGATTGGTTGCCTCCTGTACAAGCCCTGACCAGGGCCTGAGCTGGGGAGGAGCCTGCAACCAAGGTACATGCCCTTGATCGGAATCAAACTCAGGACCCTTGAGTCCACAGGCCAACACTCTATCCACTAAGCCAAACCGGCTAGAGGAAAAAAAAACCCATACATTTTAATTAACTTCATGATTATATGTTTCAGTGGTATATACGTAAATGGATTCAGCAAATAAACCACTGATTTGATTTTGCTTCATTCTTGCTAAATTGAATAACTCTGAGACCTTTCCTTAAATCTATTGGATTATCTATTTTTCAAAACATGAACACATTTTTTTAGCATCTTAATTTTTCAGTAAAACTCATAGATACTTTTCCTGGCCAGTATGGCTCAGTGGTTGAGCATGGACCCATGAATGAAGAGGTCACTGGTTCGATTCCTGGTCAGGGCACAGGCTCAGGTTATGGGCTTGATCCTCACCCAGGAGGGGGTGTGCAGGAGGCAGCCGATAGATGATATTTCGCTCATTGATGTTTCCATCTCTCTATCCCTCTCCCTTCCTCTCTCTCTTAAAAAAAAATCAATAAAACTTACTTTTTTGAAAGTGGTAGATTTTTGTTAAATCATTTTCTCATTAAATGACATTCTGTATATCACCTGTTGAGCCATCAGATGCATGAGTAGTGGGTATGTCTGCTCAGTTTGATAACTAGGTGTGTTGTATGTTTGTCTTGATAATTCTTTTGATAGAATCATGTTCCTTAATATAGTGCATGCTGTCTGAAATAATCTTGAAATTCCTTGTCTCTTTTTAAAACCATCTTGCTTGTTTTTGTTTCCCTTTCATCACTGATTCTTTTCTCACCCTTTCTCAAGCTGACTGAATCTTCTGATGAGGTAACAAACAGCCTTGTCCCTCATATAGTTTCTTGTTCCTTCCCCTCCCTCTAATGACCACTTTAACAGTTTGGATTTGACATACCTTTCTTGATGATTCTTGTATAACATAGTTTCATATTTCCATTGCCAAAAATTTTTTTTTCCAAATCAGGGGTATTCTGAAAGAAATACAGTGATCAGAGAAATGAAACAACTATAGTGATCAGAGTTAAAATGAAGACTAATTGAATATGTATTTTATGCAATTTTAATGAGAAAATAGATGCCTTTGATATTGAGAACTTCTTTTCGTTGCCATTGCTACATTACATAGACCTCACTACTACCTCACATTAGCTGCCCAGCTAACAATACCACTATCCCCAGTTTTAATTCGACCAGTGAACCTTAAAAAGAATTAGAACCCAGCATGAAAACACCTTTCTAGCCTCTGTGAGAACCAACTCCATTGCTTGACTGAGGACATCAGACTCTCTTGGGTCTTTGCTAGAAGAAACACAGAAACCAGCACATTTTCCCTCTTCCTCAGATGTGTGAATATGGCCCCACTTTTCGAAGCAGATTGCCCGGTAGTCATTATCCCTTCTGTCTCTCTCCCCAATTTATTTGTGATCTCTGACTGCTCATGTCGTGTTTCAAACCTCTTGTATTTTCTGTGTTGTGTTCTCGAGTAGTCATAACATAATTGACAACATTACTGAATAATGTAGAACATTTTTCTGTATTTATCATGTTTATTCATCTGTCCTTCATAGTGATGTAAGTTTAGCACCAACTTGATCTTGAATTTAGCATTTGATTCTATTCAAGGCTGCAGCCATGGCTCCACCTGAGGAGGAACTGAAGAGAATGGGCTCTGCAGAGGAGAGAAGGCAGAACTCGGTGTCAGACTTCCCACCCCCTGCTGGCCGGGAACTCATTCTGCGCACCACCGTGCCCCGCCCCGCCCCCTACTCCCGAGCTCTGCCTCAGCGCATGTACAGTGTTCTCACCAAAGAGGATTTCCGACTGGCAGGTGCTTTTTCATCAGATACCTCCTTCTTCTAGTTCTTCCTGGGCCACCCCATTGTGACTTCAAAGGCAGTGCTGACCCCTTCTGTGGGAAGGAGGTTGTGCTGGTCGGAACCTGGGAGGCATGAAGAGGGCCTGTCCAGTTGAATGATCAAGCGTCGTACTGGCATCTGAAAGACTTTCTGGTGCCAAGCTTGGGAAGGGTAGTAGCTTGTGGGGTCCGAGGTCGTGGGCTTGAACTATTGAAAGATTTCTTCCCCAAAGAGATAGCCCTTGGGGTGGGGTTGGGGACCAAAAATGCAGGAGCTCTCTGTACTCACTCTGTTGTGTTCAAGATTGTGTTCATTTATTCTTTCTGTGACTGTCCCTTAGGCTGTTGCCTTGCATTTATAGTCTGTGCAAACACTTCTTATTTTTATTAGTATCAAGTATGCAAAGTAGAGAATCTGTTAACTCAGATTTCTGGGTGTTTGGGAGGTAGAATCTATTCCCAGAATCTGTGTTTTTAATATATTAAATGGAATTCTGTTTATTCAATCACCTGGTCACCATTTTTATTATGCTAATTAACTTTCGATGAGCATTTTTAATATTCTAGGAGAAATCCTAGAGTTTCACATAGATATGTGTTTTTCCATATATGACCTAAATGTATTCCTTCTGATAAGACTATATTAAATGTCACTGCAAATTAGTTTGATACCTACTAGTATCTTGTAAGGCTTCTCTTACTTGTTTTGTTTTGGGTGCCATGTAAAAAGATAGCCTGAAAATTATTGTTCTCTCCTTCCCTTGTAGTTCAGTATGCATTCCTTTTGTGTGGTTGATAGTTGGATACCATCTCTAATGAAGTATAACAAAAATACAGTCTTGGTACATAGAGATTATCATGCAGTTAGTATAATTTGGTGTATATGCTATTGTAATGAATAGAAGATTATTTCAGTGAACTATTTTACTTTTGTATTTTAGTTAAAATGAAAATAATTGATGGGGATATGGAGTAGGACTAGCATAAGGACAACCACAGAATACTTCTAGTTGTCTGATGATCAATACTTATTATGTCTGTGTTGCTATAGGGCCTTTGTTCAGTAATTTTAAATCTATTTTTAGGCCTAGAGTTCCCACTTTAATCCAAAGTAAAAAATGCTTATAATGAAGCATAGGCCTTGCTGTGAAACTTTAAAGACTTAATAGATCTGTGTAAACCTGTTATATTATTTTTGTAAAAAAAAAAAAAAAGAGTATGTGTGCACATATTTGTGTGTGTGTGTGTGTGTGTGTGTGTGAAGGAGGGAGGCCGGTTGATCACCACCAGCCTCCACAGAGCTCTTATGTGAGATGCTGGACTGGTGATGGTGCACCACAGAGATACAGTGCAGACTAAGTCTGTCTGCTTTCCAATGGGACGTTAATAAGAAAGACGCATTTTACAGAGAGAGGTTGGGCTTCAGAACGGCATTGTGAGTCTAATAAAAAGGAAGTGCTGCTTTCTCTGGCTGGTTTTCTCTTCTTCCCTCTGGTGTTTCATTGTTATTTTAGTTAATTTTATACTATCTCAGATCTTGCTAACTATTTGCAGCCTGCTGGGTCTTGCAGGAATCTCAAGAATATTCTTGTCTTTTTTAAAATGGAACTTACCCCATTTTACTTTTATTATAGTTGTGTTTATTTCACAGGTATTTTTAAGAAATAAAAACCAGGTACTGCCGAAACCGGTTTGGCTCAGTGGATAGAGCGTCGGCTTGCGGACTGAAAGGTCCTGATTCCGGTCAAGGGCATGTACCTGGGTTGCGGGCACATCCCCAGGTGCAGGAGGCAGCTGATCGATGTTCCTCTCTCATCGATGTTTCTAACTGTCTATCTGTCTATCTCTCTCCCTTCCTCTCTGTAGAAAATCAATAAAATAATAAATAAATAAAATAAATAAATAAAATAAAATAAAATAAAATAAAAACCAGGTACTATACTAGGCATTGAAAACAAAACAGAAACCAGAACTCCCTGCTCCTTTCAGAGACCTTCGTGTCACTAGGGAAGGCTGATACCACGCTGCCATAAAGTGGAGAGCACAGCCCACCAGCTATGCATGGGAGGTCCAGCATGTACCATATCACTGTATTCATTCACTCATTGGCATGGAGAGTAATACAGGCAATAACAGTGATGCAGGTGAGGTCTTGTGGGAGAGGTTGCTCACTCACGCTAGGGATTAGGAGAATCTGTCTAGATTGAGAGCAGAAGGTGAGTAGGAGCTGACAAAGAGGGGGAAAGAACTACAGTAATTCCCCATCCTCACGTGTTTGCCCTAATTTATTGGGATTTTACCACTGCTCCCATCACGTGTAATTCGTTTTCCACCCCTTCAGTCTGGACTTAGCCCTGTCTTTCTTTCATCAGTGACTGTTAGCAAGCGCGACACGGGCCAAGAGTTGAAAGTACTTGCACACTGGGCTGCCTTCTCCTCCTGCAGGAACCTGAGACATGTGAAGGGCCCACTGAAGGACATTGGGGAGGTTTGTGATGCAGAAGTTCCTGATGCAGGAGGGGATAGGAAGTGTTATAGGTGAGGAAATGGAATGAACCAAAACTCAGAAGCAAAAGAAACTGTCTTGAGAGAAGAGCCAGCATTTCCACTTGTGCGGAATGTGGCACCCAGTGTGTGAAGAGGCAAGAGATGAAGATGGTACGGGGAATAGGTGAGATCAGGGTGTTGTGTGTGACCTCCGCGAGGATTGCGGGCCTTATCCTCGGGGCAGGGTGAGTCGCTGAGGAGTTTTAAGCAAGGGTGTGCGGGGTCAGATGGTAATTTAGCAGGACAAACAGATTGGGGAGTCTGGGAAAGTGTGCACTCCTAGTTCTTGCACTAAATTGGAAAGTAGCAATGATATGGTCGGTGTTTTTTCCTCTTTTGTGCTTTGTACTGTGCTGCAGAGCCTGACAAATGTGCACGGCACCCACGTGACGTCCTCACGCAGGCCCTCCCACGCCTGTGTGTTCCTATACCACCACGATAATTCGGATTTCTCTGCAGGTTGGGATTTTGTAAAGTCCAGTAAGCATTTATATTTATTTTCCATTCAGCAAGTGTTTATTGAGTGCCATCTCTGTGCCAGGCACTGTTCTGGGCAACAAGAATTCAGCAGTGAGCAGGGAAGGTGAAAGACCGTCATGGACATGACAGGAAAGGACACCGGGGGCAGGGGGGAAGGGCTTTGTGGACGGGGGACAGGGAAGGCCTGTGGTGACATTTGAGCAGACACCTGCATGGAGTGAAGGGTGCCGTGTCAAGAGTGTCTGGCAGATGATTCTAGGCGGGGCTAGTGAGTCAAGCCGAGGGGGATCAGCTGGGTTTGTTGGAGGCACAGAGAAAGAGCCAGTGTGGTTAGAGTTCACGAAGGGAAGAGCGTGCAGGGAGGGAAGGGACCAAATTACACAAAGCACTAGGATTCTGTCCACCTGACTGAAGGGGAAGCCAGTGGAGAATCGTGGATGGACTCGTGATCAGACATGAGAGTCCTCCCTCTGGCTGCTGTGGAGGATGCACTGCAGAGGCAGGGGTGGAAGCAGGAGGAGAAAGGTTGCCAGAGGAACCACCTAGGTAGTAGGAAAAGATAGAAATATGTTCTAGGAGCCAAGAATGAAAAATAGTTGAAGGAGGTGGGGTTGATCAACTGTGTCAAATGCCATTAAGGTGCCAGGTAAGAAGAGGACTAAGAATTGGCCGTTGCATACCTGTGTGTGCAGAGTAGCAAATGCAGTCCCAGAAGTCATGCAGTTCACACTGGGAAGGAACAGGAGCGCCTGAGGGAATTTGTCCCCTGACCTGAGTGCCCATCACACTTCTGCCCAAGCCAGAACAGGTGTGGTCGCTGCTGTTTCTTGCCAGGAACTGGGGGGCAGGAGCACAAAGTCACTGTCTAGTTAGTTTCAAGCCAATGATAATCCTAGTCCCTGCCTGTTGCTGCCAGCTCCTTCCTTCTGGGCAAGTAAGCTAATGGAGAGGGCTTGACACTCAACAAATTCTGGATGGATGATGGATGGATGGATGATGGATGGGTTATATGTGGGTGGATGAATGGGTGGGTGGATGGATGATGGATGGATGCCTCTTGATGGCAAATGAGGCCCAACTGTTGTGTTTGAATCTCTGAACTCAAATTTGGCATTGGGCACCATAAACCAGAATGTTTCAGAATATTAGCTCCTGAAAGGCAGCATTTCTCTAGCTGAGATGGGCTGGGCATCAGCCTGAGAAAGGGGGCGTGGCTGATCTCAAAATACAAAATAAAGCTAGTTCATAGCAGCACTTCTTCGCCAGCAAATTTTCACCTGGCAACTTATGCTCTCTGGCAGGTAGTCACGCAGGAATCTGCCCCTTACCCTGCAACAGGCTCACCTACTGCAGGCAGCTTTCCTGGGCCAAACTTACCCGAGGAAGGGGTGAAAAGAAGGGCCCACCTGGCCCCTTCTGGGAGAGGGCAGGAGCGTAGTGGCTCCGGCTTAGTCTCTGGGAAATGCTCCTCTTGTCCCTCACCAGGCCAGCCTCCCAGCCGGGCAGCAGGCGAGTTCTTGCGTTCTCAGCAGCTGTAGACAGAGATCTTGGTGCAGCTCAAAGTCTCACTTCCTGCTGCCTCCTAGCCAAGGGAATGTCGTGAAGGGGGTGACATTTCTTCCCTATCAGGTTGAAAAAAACTAGATTCTTTTTCCATCCAAAAACCCTGATCGAATATTTGTTTTTTGTTGTAAGTTTGTATGTTTGTCATCATCTTGGTCCCAGAATAAGGTGGGCCAGTGACTTGTGAGGCAGAATGTGTGCAGGAAGGGCCGTCTCATGCTGCACGAGTTGCTAGTTGGGGTCAAAGCTGGAGAGTTGACCGTAGTCCTCAGGCCTGTGATGAAAGGTGTAAGTGTTAGTTTCCTGTGGCTGCTGTAACAAGTATCACCAGCGGGGGTTACAGAGGCCAGGCTCCCCCTGAAACCTGTAGGGGAGGACCCATCCTTGCCTTGTTCTAGCTGCTGGTGGTTGCAGGCAGCCTTGGCATTCCTTGCCTTGCAGCTGCAGCACTTCTGCCCGTCACCACATGGCCGTCTCCCCTGTGTATGTGTCTCATGACAGCAGCCACCCTGCTGCAGGGTGACCTCACCTGCAGGGATTACTTCTGCAATGATCCTGTTTCCCAACATGCTACATCCGAGGGACTGGGGTTAGGACCTCAACAAAGCTTTCTTGGGGGGTCACATTAACCATAAAAACATCCTTCACAAAGCCAGCCCGCTCCCCCCCTCCCCCAGCTGCTGTGGGCCATGGAGGCCTTACTAACCAGCCTCAAGACGCTGGGCTGGGACTTAACCTCTTCTAATGCCAAAATGGGGACCAAAAAAAAGTACCAACCAGGCTGTTCAAAAATGAAACAATCTGAGAAGTGCCCAGCACGGTGCCCGGTGCAGGATACATAGGGTTTGCATAAACTGGCCCAAGCGGCCCAGTTGTACACGAGTGAGTGGTTAGCTGTTGGACACAGGCTC